GAGTGAGTGAGAGTGAGTGAGAGTGAGTGAGGGAGTGAGGGAGTGAGGGAGCGAGGGAGCGAGGGAGCGAGGGAGCGAGCGAGGGAGCGAGGGAGCTCGCGAGGGAGGGAGCGAGGGAGCGAGGGAGGGAGGGAGCGAGGGAGGGAGCGAGGGAGCGAGGGAGCGAGGGAGCGTGGGAGCGAGGGAGCGAGGGAGGGAGGGAGCGAGGGAGCGAGGGAGCGAGGGAGCGAGAATTCGTGAATTTGCAAAATGCAATTGTCTTTCCGGCTGGATAAACGACCTGGCGAGAGCCATCTGGCGTTGGACGGAAAAAAGCCAGAATAGAACAAGTGGTTTCGGAAATCGATGATGTTCTTAGGTCAGGTGAATTGCGAGGAAAGCTGCAGTTTGCTGAGACACACACGTACGGAAGGGTTTATCTGCACCCTGTGTTTCCAGCAACGAGTCAGTGGGAAACTCTTGGAAACAAGTATTCCTGAAAACATTGGGAGCGAGGGAGCGAGGGAGCGAGGGAGCGAGGGAGCGAGGGAGCGGGGGAGCGGGGGAGCGGGGGAGCGGGTGAGCGGGTGAGCGGGTGAGCGGGTGAGCGGGTGAGCGGGTGAGCGAGGTGAGGCGGGTGGAGCGGGTGAGCGGTGAGCTGTGGTGAGCCTGGGTGAGCGTGTGAGCGTGTGACGCTTTTGTGCCCCGGTTGTCTGCCTGGTATCCTCTGATTTTCTCTTGTTCTCGTGTCTCTTGTTTTTGGCTCTATTTTCTCTCTTTCTTTCGCCTTACCTTTCTTTCCGTTTCATTGTCTTTCGTGTAGGTCTTGCTTTCTTTCTTATATTTCTATTCGTGTCTTTTCTTTATTTCTTTCGTGAGTGAGTGGAGTGAGTGAGTGAGTGAGTGAGTGAGTGAGTGAGTGAGTGAGTGAGTGAGTGAGTCATTGTCCCACGCCTGCCACGCAAAAGAGGCGAAGACCCAACAAACGCCAGGGCGTACATCCGACCCCTTGGCAGTGCACATTGTGCCACGCGCCAGGGCGTACATCCGACCCCTTGGCAGTGCACATTGTGCCACGCCTGCCACGCAAAAGAAGCGGAGCCCCAAGGGACGCCAGGGGGTACATCCACGCCTGCCACACAAAAGAGGCGGAGGGTGTACATCCGACCCCTTGGCAGTGCACATTGTCCCACGCCTGCCACGCAAAAGAGGCGGAGCCCCAAGGGACGCCAGGGCGTACATCCGACCCCTTGGCAGTGCACATTGTCCCACGCCTGCCACGCAAAAGAGGCGGAGCCCCAAGGGACGCCAGGGCGTACATCCGACGCACATTGTCCCACACCTGCCACGCAAAAGAGGCGGAGCCCCAAGGGACGCCAGGGCGTACATCCGACACCTTGGCAGCGCACATTGTCCCACGCCTGCCACGCAAAACAGGCGGAGCCCCAAGGGACGCCAGGGCGTACATCCGACCCCTTGGCAGTGCACATTGTGCCACGCCTGCCACGCAAAAGAGGCACCTGCCACCCAAATGAGGCAGTGAGTGAGTGAGTGAGTGAGGGAGGGAGGGGACGGGACGGGACGGGAGGGGACGGGACGGGAGGAGACGGGACGGGAGGAGACGGGACGGGAGGAGACGGGACGGGAGGAGACGACGGGAGGAGACGGGACGGGAGGAGGCGGGACGGGAGGAGGAGGACGGAGGACGGAGCGGATACAGAACTAAAAACAAAAACCCCACACGTCAATGTGGGGAACAAGATCCGGTACTAAATATTAGGAGGATGGCAATGTGAATCATAATTTATCTAAGATGTGATATATCTGGTTTTTCTCAAAGATGGACCTTTGCCACTCAGTTTCTGCCGGCCCATCCTGCTCCACTGTATCCTAGACGTCGATTCAGCTTCCGTGCCTGTGACTAGGCGGCAAGACCCCAGCCATGTCTGAATCGCTCACAATGGACATGCAACAACCCTGCCTTGGTCAAGGACGTCAGCGGAGCATTGAATCTCCCTGAGTGCGCCGTGTGGACGTAAATAGTTTCCCTGCAGTGACTTCAAGACGTTAAGCGTCCCAGTCATGGAACTCTGACTGGGAAAATTGTTTGAGAATGTCCTATTACCGTAACCCCGTCTGTTGCCACTTGGGGGCTTGTCTTTGCAGCCATGGGCATCCAGAATTGATTTTGCTCAGTTTTTTGCTGCCAGAACCCAAGAGCCATCCTTCATCCACCAAAAATTAAGGACCGGATAACCCCACACGTCACCGTCTTCCAATAATGTCAAACAAGTGTGTGGGATGGGAAAGGCTGGAAAAACAAAAGAAATGATGCAGGACCAGTTGTGTGCAAGAGCCGTATGTGAAAGAGTTGTGTGAAAGTGCTGCGTGTGTGCATGAAATTGTGCGTGACAATGTCGTGTGTGAAAGAGTTGTGCGTGTGTGTGTGTAGCAATGTTCTGTGTCAAGAGTTGCGCGTAATAATGGTGTGTGAGA